GGCCGTCGTTTCGTTTCGGCCTCCGGAAAGGTCGGAGGCCGAGTATTTTCGAACGGTACTGTCTTGAAGAAATACATGTCCAAATAGTTGAGGCTCTTGTAGCTAGTGAGAGCATAGAATCTTGTATCCTTGAGAACGTTGGGAAACAAGAAGTTCTCACTTTAGCCAGGGGCCTTGCATATGTGAACAGTGGATTTCATGGTGCTGCTCCTGAGGAACCACCTGTCACAGCGGACTTAAGCATTTGCCTCAGCCCACACATGGAAAAGAAAAATGGGCTCGAAGAGCAAGAAGTGCCGAGAAGATCCCAGCTGAAAAAGATGGAACTTCTTTTGTCGGGATCTTGCAGCGAAAAAGAGGCAGATGCCCTTGCAGTCATGCTGAGAAGAAACAATACTCTTAAGAAACTGTGGATTGAGGACTATAGAGAGTATCGTGCAAACAATCCCGTTGCAGCCATCATAACAGATGCCCTTGCAGTCATTCTGACGAGAAACAAAACAGTTACTCCTAAGAAACTGTGTACTGAGGACTATGGAGAGTATAGTGCAAACAATCCCGTCGCAGCCATCATAACGATTGTGAAAGGGTTGCTGAGTAACGTTTGCCTTGAAGAGCTGAGCCTCTATTTAGGAAATAATTATGAAATGACATCTGAATTGAGGGAAGAGATGCTCTGTACCTTGGAGTCCAATAAGACACTTCAAAGATTTGAATTCAGAGGCCGGTCTGACAGAATTATTGATCGTAAGTTGGCAAGAAACAGGACTGAACGGCGGTTGCTGGAGGCCGGTGGAGGCCTGGAACGCACTACCAGCAGCCACATCAGATGTTTTTTGGTCGGTGACCCTGAAGTGGGAAAGTCGACTCTGAAGGACTCGATCTGTCGTGGAGCATTGGAGAACTACATAGAAAAGATGAAGAAGATGGCACCTGGTGATCGGCCTGCCAAGCCTCGAACTAAGGGCATTGAGATGGTTCATGTCGCCTCAAAAGGGCTTAACATCCAGTTTTGGGACCTGGGCGGACAACATGAGTACCACACTATTCATGATCTTTTCATGCCAACTCTAGGTGGGGACATGGCGGTTCCGCCCATCTTCTTGCTTCTATTCGATCCAGTGATCGGACGTCAACACCAAGTCATTGGTAGCTCAAGTCCGCACGACCCAACTATTGAAGTTCAGAAGACACAATGGGATGAGCTGCTACAACGACTGATGTATTGGTTGAGATTCATCGCAGCAAACTGCAAACCCGAAAGAAAGCCTTGTGTGATTCCCATCTGCAATCCTCACTTGACTCAGAAACAAAAGTTGTGTGACTGGCATCCACAGGCTCGTGAGGTGGTCCGCCAGATATCCGCGGAGTTTCGAGACACACTTGATATTGTGAACGAGGTAATCCTCATGGATGTGAGAAACAATAGCGATGCAAAACGACTCAAAAAGTTTGTGTTCCTCAAGGCAGAGGCACTTCTTCGTAATACCAGTGTGCCACAGATCATGGAGAGAGTGCAAACAATGGTAATCAATTCCAATATATCAAGGATTCCTCTTGTGACTTGGGCCAAATTCCGTGGGACCTGTTGGCCAAACTGCCAAACTGCATTGGATGACGATCTCCTCCTGAAAGCAATGGCGAGCTATCTCCATGATATTGGACAAGTTATTTGGTTTGAACCAATGCCATTTGTGGTTATGGACCCCCAATGGTTTTGTTGCAGACTTGTTGGTGAGCTCATCCCAACAACGTTTCATGTCAGTGGAACCTCCAATGGGATCGCTGACCTGGACCTTCTTGAGCGCGTGCTGTCGGAAGCTGTTCCCAGGCGATGCGAGGTTGGTGGATGGCACCTCGTGAATCTGATGCTGAGAATGGAGCTTGCTTATAAGGTCAGTGATGATCCCAAGAGCGCCTTGTTGATACCATCATGTCTTCCGGATCGTCGAGATGGGAATATGATCAGCTGGAAAGTGGGGAGGAAAAATGGGCACGGACAGGAAGGCCACTTCTCCGGGTATCGGATTGAATGCAAAGACAAGAAGCAGACAATGCTGACAGCAGGATTCTTCCACCGACTGCAGGTAATGCTTAGGCAGACCGTTTTTCGAAAAGTTGTTTTTCTTCTTTTTTCTCCCACTCCCCATCAATTGGCATCAATGAAATTCTGACTATTGGGAGGAGCTTTCTGATATCCGGACTGACCAATGCATTTCTACTGTTCTGCACAATACTCTATACGTCAACAGCCATCTGCACCCTTCCGGCTACGCCCTACTTTTGACATATATCCTAAATAATCCAATATCGTTTTTCAATTTGTGGCCATCGTCTCTCCGAGATGTATGGTAGTGTCAGCATTTGAGTATTTGCGATTCTTGCTCATACTGTGTTAGTACTTCCATTACGTGGATCTCATTTTTGGGTCTGCAACATTTGTGTGCACCCCTTTTATTTAACTTTTTTTTTTGAAACAACGGCGGACGCGGCATGTTTTTAAACTCTAAAGGCACAAAAAACACGCATCGGCAAAGAAAGCACGTTCTAACTCGAAATGAGCGATCACGGTCCAAAAGCAACCGTTGGCCATTTTCTTTCTTTTTTGTTTTCCCCTCTGACACCACAGCCGACCCCTGTAAATATGACACCCGGTCTGACACCACGGCCATTGGTACTTCCGTTGCCTTTTCGAACTGGGCGCCGTTTTCTTTGCCGAGGCGATGTTTTTTTTTGCCTATTCATACTCCAAGGTGACATAAACGTACTTCCCCCTTTTTTTTTTTTTTCTCACTGGCGAAGGGATGCTGTTCTAATGCCATAACACTTGTGAGGGAGAGAGAGAGAGAGAGAGAGAGAGAGAGAGAGA